GGCAGGAGGACCTAAAACTGCTGGGGGAGATGGTAGGGGAGGAGGTTCATCTCAATAATGTGCATGTCATCTAGGACAGTTTGCAACTATGGGTGATTGGGGTGTGCCTAGGCACATCTGGCATACCCTGTGCACACGTCCTACCCCTCACCAGCATTAAAGAGTTACCAGGTATGTGTATAATATGCTATAGTGTCATGATAGTATGTGCTGTTGTGGCCTGTATAATGTGTAGGCCTATCACCACCAAACAGTTCTCCTAAAAACAGTAGTATCTCCACACCTACTATATACAGTGGAGCACTACTTGCACTGCTATGAGATGGGCCCCAACTCTTGATTTCTCTAGTGGGTTCAAGTGCTCCAGTCTGACCCTGATCAAGCTGACTATGGTCAGCTTGGACAACATGGATTAAATTGTGTTCTATTGCTATCTAATGTATGTGAGTAATTTTTATGAAGCAGTGACATCTGGGGGTAAAGCGGATAATCTACAGATACAATGATATTTGTTGATGACATCTGGGGAATAGTTTGGGTCTTGTCCCTTCTGTGCTAATAGTTTCCAAATCTCGCCAAGGTATCCTGATGGCACATATATTTGCTGGTTAGCGTAAAAAAAAAAAGACTTATTCAAAAAGCAATGCAGAAAGTGCTTTACCAACAAGAATCAATTTGAAAATAATCTTTTACTGAACTGACTTCAGTGACCGTAAATCTGATTAGTTATATCAAGAATTACACTTGGCACGTCATTGTTGCTCTTTGCAAAGTTTTACTGAACAAGCCTGACCAAGACATTTGAAAGACTATTCAAAAAATAATCCATCTCCATTAGTCTCTGCCCTACATGTACTCATATAATGCATTTGTCATATATGTCCGCTATTTTAAGACACAAAAAAGATGAAAGTTTACATTTTGCTTCCAGTAACCTCTCATGGGTTTATTTATTTTATTTATTACATGTACTTATATATAGCGCTGTCAATTTACACAGCGCTTTACATATATATTGTACATTCACATCAGTCTACCCAGTGTTGTCCATGCAGCCTGAAAAAAAAATTGGTTACATAAACGAGAAACCATTAACATACTGTTCATTTATTTATGACAAAACAAATGTAATATACAGTATGTCAGAACACTTAGTCTCCATGCACATTGGTTTAAAAATCGCTCCTTCTACGGTAATTTTGTGTTTTGTCTATAGAAGCAGCTCAATGTTATCCAATGTGTCCATGCATATTAGGATGATTAGAGGGATATTTTAAGCTCAATATTTAAAGGCACCCCTTCTGGTTTGCGTTTTCAAATGGAGCTTTCTGGCAGAAAAAAAACGCTAAACTATCCTAAACTCCCCTAAACTGTGTACACAAACGCTCTATTTGCAGCGTTTTTTTGTGCTAAGGGAACAGACTTTTTTTTGAAGCCCAGTGTGCATGGAGCCTTATAGAGGAGCCTTAAAGAGTGCTAACTGATAACTCAGTCAGAATTTACACTGCTGTACTTTGAATAATTGCACTTACCATTGGGGGTTAAAGGGAAACTATAGTCCTCTCAACATTTTTAGATGCAGCATACATATGAAAGACATCAACTGAATAAAAACAATCCACGTACAACCCCTGGCAAAAAGTATGGAATCACCATTCTTGGAAAATGTTCATTCAATTGTTTAATTGTCTAGAAAAAAGACATTCCTCAAAACTATATTTAGAAAAAATAAGAAAGAAAACTGTAGTCAGTTGCAACTGTTTTTGCAGATCAAGCAGAGAAAATGTGGAATTACTCAATTCTGAGGAAAATCATGGAAATATGAAAAAAGACACTACAGTGCACCACTAGTACTTTGTTGCACCACCTCTGGCTTTTATAACAGCTTGAATTCTCTGAGGCATGGATTTAACTATCGACAAACAGTATTCTTCATCAATCCGGCTCCAACTTTCTCTTATTGCAGTTTCCAAATCAGCTTTTCAGATTGGAGAGTTGTCATGGACCATTTTCTTTAATTTCCACTATAGATTTTCAGTTGGATTGAGGTCTAAACTATTTGCAGGCATACCATTGACATTATGGGGTTTATTTACTAAAGCTGGAGAGTGCAAAATCAGGTGCACGTCTGCATAGAAACCAGTCAGCTGGCAGGTTTTATTGCCAAAGCTTAACTGAACATGTTGAGGTTAGAAGCTGATTGGCTACCAGGCACAGCTGCACCAGATTCTGAGTGAACCAGTTTTAGTAAATCTACCCCTGTATGTCTTTCTTGAAGGAGAGATTTCACAGCTTTTGCCCTATGGCAAGATGCAATATCATCCTGAAAAAAATTATATCACCAAACATCCTTTCGATTGATGGAATAAGAAAAGTGTCCAAATTCTCAATATAAATTTGTGCATTTGTCGAAGATTTAATGACTGTCATTTCCCCTGTACCTTTATCGGATATGAAACCCCATATCATCAATGATTAGGGAAATTTGCATGTTTTCTTCAGGCTAGTCGTCTTTATACATTTCATTGGAACAGCACCAAACAAAAGTTCCAGTATCATCACCCTGCCCAGTGCAGATTTGTGATTCATCACTGAATATCACTTTTATCCAGTCATCCACAGTCCATGATTGCTTTTCTTTAGCCCACTGTAACCTTGTTTGTGTTTAGCTGTTAATGATGGTTTTCATTTGGCTTTTCTGTATGTAAATCCCATCTCCGTTAGGCGATGTCTTACAGTTTGGTCACAGACATTGACTCCAGTTTCTGCCCATTTGTTCCTCATTTCTTTTGAAGTGCATTTTCTGTTTTCAAGTCATATTGCTTTAAGTTTTCTATCTTGATGCTTTGATGTCTTCCTTGGTCTACCAGTACGCTTCCCTTTTACAACCTTCCCATTTGATTTGTACTTGGTCCAGATTTTAGACACAGCTGACTGGGAACAACCAACATCTTTTGCAACATTCCATGATGATTTACCTTCTTGAAGAAGTTGTATAAATCCTCTCCTTTGTTTCAACTGACATCTCTCATGTTCGAGCCATGATTCATGTCAATCAACTTGGCGCAACTGCTCACCACGGTGTGCAAGCACTCTTTTTTAACTGCAGACTAATTAGCAGATGTAATCTGATGCAGAACTGCAAAGTACATGGTGATTCCATAATATTTTCCTCAGAACTGAGTGTTTCCTTATTGTTTTTTCTCTGCTTGATCCTGCAAAACTAGTTGCAATTGACTACAGTTTTCTTTATTTTCTATTTTTTTAAGTGTTTCTTAAAGCCAGAAGGTTGGAATATTAAATTAAAATAGTTTTGAGGCATGTCTGTGATTGGTTTCTTTTCTACACAATTAAACATTTGAATGAACATTTTCCAAGAGTTGATTCCATACTTTTCGCCAGTGGTTGTATGTTAATCAAAAACCTTGCTCCTGTGTATAGTTTGTAATCATCTTTGCACATGGGAGCAGCCTTTTTAATCATGTTATGTTACTGCTGATTGAAAACAATAAACTGTCTTTGGTACTGATTGGTAGATAGAAGGCACGTGATCTAGTATGGTCTCTGGAGAGTAGTTTTTCATGCATAGCCAGAAATACATACTACTTACTTTAGTAAGCCTGGCAGGCTCTATATTGAAAACAAAGCAAAACAAACAGAGGCCACACAGGCCTAGTGCATTACCTTAAAAAAACATTTATTAATAAAAAATAATGGGTATTATACTCACAGATGACAATAATGTCAAAGGCAGATCATAAAAGAACAGCACTGTCCAATCCACACTTGGTGATGCCCACAATAGGAACCCTGGACTTCTAACAGGCTAACACGTTTCGAGGACTTACCTCTTCTTCAAAGTTAACCTGAGGAAGAGGCAAGTCCTCAAAACACGTTAGCCTGTTAGAGGTCCAGGGTTCCCATTGCGGAAATCACCAATTGTGGACTGGACAGTGCTGTTCTTTTATGATCTGCCTTTGACATTATTGTCATCTGTGAGTATAATACCTATTATTTTTTCATCAATAAATGTTTTTTTAAGGTAATGCACTAGGCCTGTGTGCCCTATGTTTGTTTTTCTTTGTATCCAGTGCATTTGGACTTCCCTGATCCTTTGAGGGCAGCAAGGTGTGCACTTTCCAAGGCATTCGATATGTGGTTGTAGCCTTTGTGGAGTCCATCCCCAAGCACAGGAGTATATGTGTACACCATTTTAGGCTCTATATTGAACCTTATTGATTCATTTGTAGTTTGAACTATCGGTACAAGTCCCCTTTAAATTTTTAATACGGCCAAAAACGTTAAACTTCAGATGAAACTCTTTTCTCCTCTTTATGTTAGGCAGTAATTAGAATTGCTATTATAAGTAGATTATGTGCTAATATCCTTCCATTAAGCAGAATCACATTCCTGATCAACTGTCAACACTTGGATTTGAAGATGACATTAAAGTAGTTTGGTCCTAGAGTCTGCCACTGTCTTATTAACAGAAGCAATGAGTTCCTAAGCTTCATAGTACAACTAGCAATGTTTAATTGGCGCCGTAATCTACCTAATCTAAAATATGTCTATCTCATTCTCCATTACATGTTTCATTGTACTTAGCATTTTCTGTTTAATGATCCATGCCATCTGTCTTTGGAACATCCAGAAGCGAAGCTTTTCAGGGCAGATCAAAATGTACACAATTTTTCACACATATATTATTAACTTCTGGAGAATCAGAACATTACTGTGAATTATTTTACTGTTTTTGCTGTTAATCATTTTTATTATTTCCTTCAGGTTGGTTATAAATTTCTCCTTTAAAAAAATGCAAACCTGATTATACAAATTAACCCGCAGAAAGAGTGATTCGAGAAAGAGATAGATACTGTAGATAAACAGATAGATAGGTGGATAGATAGATAGATAGATAGATAGATAGATAGATAGATAGATAGATAGATAGATAGATAATATTTGTTAAGTGTGCACTGATACTGTTCTGTTTTTATAGGATGTTTATATTAACACTCCAAGAAAAACTTTCTATAAAGTGCATTGAACACTTTTCCCTGATGTTGGAACAAAGGACAGAAGGAGCTGGAACCAAACTTCTCTTATTACATGAACAGGAGACACTAACTCAGGTTTCTAAATCTTACATGGTATTCACGTTAACACATTTCAGCTGAAGGCAACAATTACAATATTACAGCTTGGCGTTTGTAAAAATGTTCATTACTGTTTGATTGCTCCAGTGCCATTTGTGGCTTGTTTACAGAACATCAAAAAATAACTATAGATAATTAATGGAGTATGCAATAGAAAAGTATGGAAGGATGTCCAACCTATGGTTAACCTCTTCTCATCCTCAATCTGTATATAAACCCCTTCACGCCTAACGGTAAAACAAATCTTAATGCCTAAGCACAATTTTGCAACCTATGGTTAACCTCTTCCCATCCTCAATCTGGATAGTAAGGTTCCTCAGCATGATGCCCATGCTAGGAATACATTAATAAATTCCCATCCTTTCTGAACCACCAGACAACTTTTTGTGCAGCTGGTGGGTATGAATATTGGCTCTCAGTATCGACTCCAGTACCCACTGGCAATTGGGAACCAATGTGGTAAAAAGAAAAATAAAGTGTTGTATTTAATTGTATAGGTGTATTTAAGTGTATGATATGTCTGCCCATGTGCCAATATCTAACAAAAACATTTTTTAATGTGTGTGTACGAAAAAAAAGTCTTAAAGGTCTTTTAAAAATACATAAAACATATATAGGAATACAAACTGTTTATAGAATTATTGTCATGCTAACTGATATATGCTGATACTGCTAAATTTGGCCTTAGCACCTAGGCATCAATGACTCTAGTCATGAAAGGACTAAAGAAAGTCCTAGAACTGACAATTTACCCTGATATATGCTGATACTGTTAAAGTGGCGTAAATGTGAGGGAATTGTCAGTGTCGGACATATTTCCAGGACCAGTCCCTCCAGTGGAAAAATGCATCTTCAATACAGATGCTGGCACACTGCATTTGCATTCATCTGAAGGTAAATGGCTCATATTAATAGGATATCCTTAAAGATTTCTTTCTAACTATTTAGTGTGAATTATTTTTCGCATCATAAAATCTTTATCTCCTTACCTATAAATGCAATTTCAATGCATTTTTTTTTTTTTTACGGCTAACATACAGTAGCCAGATGTCGCACCAAGAACTAAAAGCAGTATCACTTGTCCTGGACATCTCTGAATCCACCAGGACCCACCATGATGTAATCTTGCTACTCAGCCAATCAGCATAAGCAGTGTATGGGTATAATTTGGAGTAAAGGGAAGGACTGAGATTCTTCAATAAGTTATAAAGTCTGTGTGTAATACAACCGCATACCATGATGAAGAAATACATGTTATCGCCCCCTGAAAGTCTGAAATGACGCAGATGTCTCTTGATCATTACTCAGTGTGCAATCAAAATACACTATATTGCCAAAAGTATTGGGACACCCCTCCAAATCATTGGATCCAGGTGTTCCAATCATCTCCATGGCCACAGGTGTATAAAACCAAGCACCTAGGCATCCAGACTGCTTCTACAAACATTTGTGAAAGAATGGGTCGCTCTCAGGAGCTCAGTGAATTCAAGAGTGGTACCGTGAGAGGTTGCCACCTATGCAGTAAGTTCATTTGTGAAATTTCCTTGCTGCTAAATATTCCACCGTCAATTGTTAGTGGTATTATAACAAAGTGGAAGCTACTGGGAACAACAGCAACTCAGCCACAAAGTGGTAGGCCACGTAAAAAATGATCGAGCGGGCAACTCATGCTGAAGTGCACAGTGCATAGAAGTTGTCAATTGTCTGCGGAGTCAATAGCTAAAGACCTCAAAACTTCGTGTCTCCTTAACCTCCCAGGCGGTATTCCCGAGTGTAGCTCGGGGTAAAGTTTCAGCACCACAAGCGGTAACCCCGAGCTACACTCGGGAATACCTTGCAGCGTTGCTCCGGGGATCTCTTCTGCACTTACCTTGTCCTGCGCTCCCGCGATGTCCCTCCTGCAGTGTCCCCGGCAATGTCCTCCGGCCGATGCCAGCATCTGACTTCTGGGTTCCGTTCCCTGCGACGTCAGGGATGGGGTATGGGGGACAGAATGGATGGGTATGGGGGACGAAACTGGTGGGAAATTTAAAAATTTCAAAAAGTGACATTTACTAAATACACTAAAATCACATAGACATTACTGTATCAAACCATTTCACATACATTTTGTCCCTAGTGCTTTGTCCTGTGCCCTGCCTGCATTTTTACTGTTCTTTCTGCCTGGAAACTGAGAAATGTCCATGGCTTTCAAAAAACATCCTTTTATGTCAAAAGCGATTTTAGACCAGCTAGAGAACAGCAAAAGTAAATTAGAACCACTTGCAGAATTAAGTGATAATGATTTGTGGGGAAATTCGTCATCAGACACTGAAAACGATTTTGCAACTTTGCTCAGTGATGTGCGAACTTGGCGCTATATTTCAAATATCTTTTTTTGTTTGATTATATTATTGAATTTAATTTATTATTATTAAATTATTATTTTTTATGATTATTTATTAAATTATAATTTACGATTTTGTGTTTCAAATTTTAACATACCCGGGATGTTTACTAGACTGTTGTTCGGACAGATTTCAGTGAGTTATTCCTAAAAATTACAGGCCTACAATAAAAAAAAACTCATATTTCCATGCAAAAAAATTAACAGCATTGAGCACATAAATACTGACATAATCAGAGCGCTAGGGAGGTTAAGATTAGCACAACAACAATGCATAGAGAGCTTCATGGAATGGGTTTCCATGTCCAAGCAGCTGCATCCAAGCCTTACATCATCAAGTGCAATGCAAAGTGTCAGATGCAGTGGTGTAAAGCACGCTGCCACTGGACTCTAGAGCAGTGGAGATGTGTTCACTGGAGTGACGAATTATGCTTCTCTGTCTTGCAATCTGATGGATGTGTCTGGATTTGGCAGTTGCAATGAGAATGGTGCTTGCCTGACTGCATTGTGCCAAGTGTAAAGTTTGGTGCAGGAGGGTCTATGGTGTGTTGTTGTTTGTCAGGGGTTAGGCTTGGCCCCTTAGTTCCAATGAAGGGAACTCTTAAGGCATCAGCATACCAAGACATTTTGGACAATTTCATGTTCCCAACTTTGTGGGAACAGATTGGGGATGGCCCTTTCCTGTTCCAACATGACTGCGCACCAGTGCACAAAGCAAGGTCTATAAAGACATGGATGAGCGAGTTTGGGGTGGAGGAACTTGTCTGACCTCAACCTGATAGAACACCTTTGGGATGAATTAGAGCAGAGACTGTGAGCCAGGTCTTCTTATCCAACATCAGTGCCTGACCTCACAAATGCATTTCCAGAAAAATGGTCAAACATTCCCATAGATACACTCCTAAACCTTGTGGGCAGCCTTCCTGGATTTGAAGCTGTCAGAGCTGCAGAGGGTGGGACAACTCAATATTGAACCCTATGGACTAAAACTGGGATGCCATTAAAGTTCATGTGCGTATAAAGGCAGGCTTCCCAATACTTTTGGCAATATAGTGTACCTATATGTTGTCCTCATTATATTAAGATTATATCTTCATTGGTATTTGTAACCTTGTATAACGTTTTGTCATTGTCAGATATGGACAGTTTGACACTGGTGACATCACTGTCACCAACAGTTTGGAATGCGATCTACAATAAAAAGGGAGACAATACAGTTATAATACAAATAAAGACGAGAGGGTTAAGAGGACCCTGCACCCCAGAGCTTACAATCTAAAAGGGAACAGCAAGTGGTACAAAAGGTAGTAACAGTGTGGGTCTGAGCTGATGAAGACAGACAAGCTCTGTTGTTGGGCAGAGGTGGAACAGGCCTCCCTGAAGAGATGAGATTTCAGGATTCTCCTAAAAGTGGACAGAATATGAGACATGAAAGTATGAGAGTAATAGTTCTGGTGATGTATTAGGCACTGTACCCACACTGAAAATGAACCAGTTATAAATATATTTTGTTTTCTGCCCCTTAATTACTTGACTTGCATATCCCATATATTACTATTTACTCTAACCATAGTATGAGTAATGGTACCAAATTCTTTTCAAAACCTAAAGTACACCACACCTACCTGCATACCCCTATGCAGTATATGTATAGTAGTTAGATATACAATAAAAGACAACTGTCCATTAAATTCAACTGGGTAAAAAAAATGTCTGCATGGGTAAATCATCATTTAATGAAATAGTATAACTGAGTATGTACAGTATTTCAGTAATAACTTTAATACCATTCTAGTAGCTCTGGTTTGTGTACATTTTTGGTTTAACTAATGCAGGTTTGGCATTTTGTGTGTTGTGAGAGCTGTCATTTTTCAGCTAACAAGAAAAAATTCTGTTTTGTGAAAGCACTATTTTTATATCCAATTTAAAATGTCTAGGTGACTCAGAGACCCAGTTCGCATATGATGAGATGTCTGTTTAGAATAAGTTTTGTTCCAAAGGATCCAATTGACCTTCTTCGAAGGGACCCAGTTGCCTTTGAATACTTATATGTGCAGGTAAGGGCTTATACTTATGTAGACAACTGTTGCAACTTAAAGTTTAATCACTCCTGTCCTGTACAGCCAAGGAAGCTGCCATCTTAACCTCTGTGCGATCTGAAGTTGCCATGGTGCTGCAAGTGTGATCATTTATGACATCACCCATTTGATGGCTTGACAGTTCGGTTCAGAGCCCAAGCAACTGTGATAGTTTGCATTCATGGCATGCCTTGAATGTAACCATTTTGGGAAACAATTCAGTGGGTTTAGTTTTAATTTAAAAGCTTTGCATTTTTATTAAAATGTTATGTAACAAAATGAAATAAAAATAATATTGACAACTGAATTGCGTTATCAGAGAATGTGTGCTGATGAGAATGTCACATTGCCTTCCATTACCACTAGCAATCATGAGCTATGTCAAATGCTGGTTTGCAGATATTTGTTTTCTTATGAAATGTACGCATTACTTGAGTCTAATGCCCCATCTGCTGGTTGATTTCAGAGTTGCAATGATGTGGTTCAGGAGAGATTTGGACCAGAGTTGAAGTATGATATTGCTCTGAGACTAGCAGCACTGCAGATGTACATTGCAACAGTCACTACCAAGCAGACACAGAAAATCTCTCTAAAATATATTGAGTAAGTATACTTGCTTAGCCACTCAAGCATATCTTTGTGAACCCTCTGCATTATTACAAACATATATATTTATATATTGTAAAATGTTACATTCTTTTGACATAATATAGTTTTGTGAATCTGATATATCTAACACCGTAGAATCAAAAACTGTACAGCTTTGTAGCAGGGGAAAAGCCCTTCAATTGAAAATAGGTCATATATTAGGATACTAAATTCCATGTTCCATTGACAACTGTCAGAAGTGGGAATTGTCCTCACTTTAGGGAGATTTTTACTCACTTCCTGTGCTGTCTGTGGGTTCGGAAGAGAAGGGAACTCCCTTACATTATCTTTCTAAAATGTTTATTAAATAAACATTTACCATAGTGTGCATTCATGAAACTCAAAGGATGCTGAACAGCATTATCTGTGCACTTTATGCTAGCTGCTGAGACTTCAGAGAGTCCATGTTTCTTGCATAGAGCCCCACCTTATGCCTGCAAGTGGTACATCATAATATTCACATACAATATGTCATAGCTGATTTTTTCTTATTAACCATAATTTAAAAAAAACACTTTATTTTCCTTAGCTATTTGAACCATATTTTGATTTAAAAAAAATACTGTAAAGAATAACTGCTCTTTAAGATTCTCCTGCTACCATCATCCCTACAGGCTGTACAAAACTAAATGGGATGCTGTGTGTTACTGATGAGATCAGTGTGTTTGCAAAACGTCGTCCTGCAGCCTCCCAGGAGAAGGTCTGTCCTGAAGGCGCAGTAATTCTTTACAGTGTTAAGTCAGCTTTACAAAAATAGCACAGTATGTTGTCCCATATGGTTGTAGCAGCATAGTGTGACAATACTACCTACCATCTTCCCTGTCTGTTTGAACTACAGAGTCCACAACTGCATTTAGAACGAGCTTACTCAAAACCTTGTGTTCTTTTGGGCCACACATGACCAGTGTTTACTCTCTTTTGTTGCAGCTTCTTAGCTCACCATGGAGTACACACTGTGCATGTGCAGCCCAAAAGAACAGGACAGTGCTCCCTCCCATATCACTAGGGGGTTCTGGTCCCAACTTCACTCTACAATAATGCAGGATGGAGCCATTGCTGGCTGCAGAGGATTTTAAGACGCTTCTTCTAAAAGCAGTTAGGGAAAGGGAGCTTAGGCGCACTATGCTGCTATACCAGGGGCAGACTGACCATTTGGAAACTCGGGCAAGGTGGCTCTGTATAAAATAGTATGGTAAAAGGAAAGTTTACAACTAAGTCAGGGCCCATATGTAAGCCAGGTGGGGAGGAGCCTTAGTACAGATGGGGCATGGCAGCCAAGTACCCCACACCTATGCAGAGGCAGAGGCAGTCAGCACAGCCAAAGCCCTGTTCAGGGTAGATATCCCAGGAGAGGTGGACAGAGTTCAGCAGGAGCAACTGCAGCAGTCCCATCTCTGGAATGACTAAAGGAGAGTCATGAACTGAATGCCTAAAGTCTAATGGTCAGATCAGAGTCCTCTGAGTGAGTAATAATGACTCTGGGATCATGAGAGCAACTGCAGGGAGCATACCTGGCTGGGTAGAGCTATGGACTGGGACTTGAAGGGACAGACTCTCTGAGGGAAGATGGCTGCTAAAGTGCTGCATATGCTTTCACATATGACTGCTTCAGAGCATCCACTACATGTGATTGGCTACATACTGTCAAGTGACTCCAGAATGTATGTCGATGTGATGTGACTGTTTTGTAACATTTTCCAAGTAACACCAGTAAAGTACAACAAACTTATATACTTGCATATGTGGAATTCCTTCCATTGGGGATATGAAGATCAACAAACATCTGGGAATGTCCTGTGGAGGCCTCTGGCATGGAGTGGGGCACAATATGGCAAAGGGTACAGCCTCAGAAGGGGGATTAGTGTTCTAGAAAGAACAGGAGTGGGGCAGGGACTTGTGCTTTGGCACCAACATCCAGCTAATCACAGAGCCCCTCTTACAAGCAGCATGCCATGCTAAAGCACAGGGAGCCTGAAGTTCCTTGGTCAGTCTGTGTCACCACAGGCTGACATGCCCCTCACCAAGCCAATGATCACAGTGGCATCATTTTGTAGGTTGAGTCCAGTAGCTGTATCATTACATGTAACATTATATTCACATTTAAAATCTGAATTGCACCTTAACTAATGCATATAAGAAATAAACAAATGCTGATCTCCCTACAGAAAAGAATGGGGATTAGAGACCTTCCTTCCATCTGCTGTGTTGCAAAGCATGAAGGAAAAGAATATAAAAAAAGCACTGTCACACCTTGTCAAAGCTAATCAAAACCTCGTCCCTGCGGGCAAAAAGGTAAAGCATTCATGTTGAAGAAATGTAAAATATAAGAAAGAACATGAAAAAGCTATTTACAGTATGAGATTTTACCACTCTGTATCCAGAAATGTATAGCTCTATCAATTATTTCTTAATGCATCAGATTTAGCTATTGCATTGTAAAGCCAGTTGATAACTTGTACACTGCTATAACGGCCTGGACATTGTTATGGGAACTCCTGACACTGTCACTGACCTGAATTTCTTAAGATACAGGGCACAATTCACTAAAGCTTATCGCATGAGTTAAGTCAGTCACATGACCACATATCACTTACGATACTGAAAATGTCAATTCACTATTGCTAGTATGCAGTATTTACTGAAAATAGAAAAAACACTCGGTAAATACCGCATAAAAATACCTTAAAGTCAATTCACAAAAGGAAATTAATAATTAAATGCTTGCGGTAATTAAGTAGTGGTCCAGGCATGCGGTATGTACTGCTGTCAGCACTGTCATGGGTTGTTAAGGAATGGGTGGCCGCAGAGTCCCTAACAACCCATGAGTCATCAGCTGTCAGTGGGGAAGCCCCCAGGTCCCGGCCCCCCATATGAATTAGTATAACCCCACCCCCATGTGACATCATTGACCCAGCATGCCATGGTTGATGATGTCACGCATGTCACCGGGTGGCCCCGCCCCTTAACCTATTTAGGAACTCTCAAGCCAGCGGAGCAGTCAGACGGTCGGGAGCAGATTCTTTTTTTTCTTTTCCGGGTGGCAGCGGCGGGCATCATGATTGACGTTGGATCTACTTTGGGGGACATTTTTTTTATTTTCCTTCTTTTAATAAAGGACTTGTCAAAGACTGTATCCTGTATTTTTTCACACTACAGGTTTTTTTGTGAATGGGCAGCGGTACCATGTACCCCATACTCATTCACATGGGGGGCTGGGATCTGGGGGCCCCCTTGCTAAAGGGGGCTTCCAGATTCCGATAGTCTCCCCATCCACACCCCAGGGTTGTGGGGAAGAGGCCCTTTCCCACATCAACATGGGGACAAGGTGCTTTGCCCCAAAGCACCCCCCCATGTTGAGGGCATGTGGCCTGGTATGGTTCAGGAGGGGGAGTGCTTTTTACATTATGGCATGGTGGTTCCCCTCAAAATCCACACAAGACCCGAAGGGCTTGGTATGGATGGAGGGGGGACCCTATGCCGTTTTTTTTTATTATTTTTTTAACCACTTGCCCTCCTGAGGATTTACCACCCTTCTTGACCAGGCCATTTTTTGTGTTACGGCACTGCATTATCCAAATGAAATTTATGTCCTTTTTTCCCATGAATTGAGCTTTCTTTCGGTGGTATTTGATCACCTGTGCGTTTTTATTTTTTTGCTCTATAAAAAAAAGGCCAACAATTTTGAGGAAAAAAAAACAATATTTTTGACTTTAAACATGTCCAGTTAAAAAAATTGAAATTTTGTCATAACTTTAGGCCAAAATGTATTCTGCTACATGTCTTTGCTAAAAAATAAAAACCCAATACGTCTAAATTAATTGGTTTATGTGAAAGTTATAGCGTTTACAAATGGCGGTATATATACTGGAATTAAATTTTTTTTTTTTACTAGTAATGGCGGCGATAAGCGACTTATAGCGGGACTGCAGAGGACATTCTGACACTGGGGGGAACCGACTTGGTGTCACTGACATCGCCAGTGATACCAATACAGTGATCCGTGCTAAAAAAAAAGCACTGACACTGTACTAATGGCACTGGGCAGGAAGGAATTATAATGAGGGGTGATCAAAGGGTTAACTGTGTGCTGGGAGTGTTTTTACTGTGGGGCGATGTGTTGGTGCTTCACTGTAAGCACACTGCTTTGGATGGCTGTGCACAGCCATCCAAGGCAGTGTGTCTGAGCTGACAGGGAGGAGGACTGTTAGTAAACAAAGCAGCCCTCCTCCCCATCGGAGATCCTCAGTAATCCCCCGGTGGGGAATCACTGCGAGCACCCCCCCCACCCGGAAATGCAAAATCAAGTATATATACGTGATTTTGCGCACCCCTGCTGCCTTATAGCAGTATATCTGCTATAGGGTGGCAGAGAAGCGGTTAATTGCCAGCAATTCTTTCTTTTACATTCAGTTGTTAGTGGGGAACCCCACTGACAGCTGAAACATTATCGCATGTTTTTCACTGCTAAAATATCGCAAGACTTGATAAAATAACTCATGCGGTATTATAGTAGCGTTTTTTCTCGTAAATTCAAACTTTTTTTTTTTTAAATGCTGTGCAGTATCCTACCGCATACTTGCATTGAATTGTGAATTGTGCCCAATATACTTTTGAATCTACTGAAAAACAACATACAGTTGAACACCAGAACACAGTTTGTCCTGAATGAAAGACCTAAGGAAGCTAAATTGTAATTAGGTAATGTGTACAGAAAACGAATATGTAATATAATATAAACTATTAATAAAGCATCAGAGTGATTCCTACAGTCTGTTTTTTTAAGTTGGTCAACTATTTTAATACCAAGGTCTAATCATTCATCTAAATATTATGATGCATATGACATTATCCTAAATAAACTATACTACATTTCAACTTTCCAGTACTTAAATGTGGTGGCTGCATTTGATTTCTGTTTTTTTAGTTTTTTATACTTTATTTTCACTTGATGGGATATTCTCCTAGATTGTAAGCTCGAAAGAGCAGGGCCCTCGAACCCCTCGTGTATTGTATTGTTACTGTCTTGTCTCATGTTCTGTCCCCCCCACTATAATGTACAGCGCTGAGCATGCCCTTTGGCGCTATATAAATACTGTATATAATAATAATAATAATATTGCTTAGTGGGTGGAATAATGCTGGCCATCAGATTAAGGACAGTTAGTGGGAGGAAAAAGATGCTGTGGGTAAACTCTCTGATTTTAAGGTGAATATTGTGGCAAAAACTGGTTATTTTATCTTTTAATTGATTATTCATTTGCATCTTGTTTTTTCTGCAGTTCTGATTAAAAAGGTTAGTTCACCTGTACAGAAAAAAATATAAAGATGGATTAACAACGAACACTCACTCTTCCTCCCTGGTCCCCGCTGTATTTACAGCACCCTTGCAGGCTGTTCAGTGGTTTGATCATTTGAAATCCCTACTCTTCCCCCTCTTCTCAGTGCAACACTGCTGAGACAGACCAGATTGATTCTGATTTGTCAGCACCATTGCAGTGAATCAATCTGGTCCTTCCCGAAAGAGCTGCACAGAGAAGAGGGAGGAAAATAGGGATTTCCAGAATGCTGGACTGCAGAGGTGCTGCCAGCTCAGCAACCCTAGAGGTAAGTGTAGAGGGGACTGGAGGGTAGGGGAGGGTGTCCAGTGTTAGTTCACCTTTTCCCACCACTAGCTGTTCTTAATCTGATGGTCAGCATTATTCCAATGACAGGTCATCCTGGACCTGCCCAAACCTGTGACTGGACAGTGAAAAGAGAAGCAGCACAGTGATGAGCTCATCTCTCCTCCTATCAGCATTCTCTTGTCAGCATACAAATGAAATGGCCCCTGCTGTACAGGGAATGCAAGAGGCTGGTCCCAGGTGAAATGTATGTACTTCCACTGCTCTCATTTAAAAAATGCATTTTAGGATGAATTATTGATTACACAGCTGCGTTACCACTAGCTGTTTGGAACAGTTTTGAAATTTTTCACTTACATGTTATTAGCTTTTTTTTTTTTTTTAGAAATTTACTGAGAATCCCCAAACATTACACATTTTTCTGAAAGCAGATGGCTGTTTTTTTTGGGACACAATATTTGTGCAGTCCTTTACCAAATGCAAATTTTCAGGAAAAAAACACACTTAAATGAATTTTAATGCACACAAACACAATATAATACATATAAGATATTGTTTCTTCAAGTATATAGATGCCAAGCATGTCAAGATTTAAATTTGTGCCCATGAAATATCTACCTAACGTTCAGCTTTAAAATGCCTTTGCTGCTGTCTGTAGGTTCGAAGGGTAGGTATGTTAGGTGTGTATACACCATGTGGGTTGTTTGAGTTGGCATCGGATTGGGCTAACTGTGAAGTGAGTGAATGTGCAGGCAGTTGAAAGCTACTCTGGACCAGTGCTGTGTTGTATGTCAGCAGTGGTTCCATATAAAATTACATAGGGCATAAAGAAATGACATTCATATGTAAATTAAATTGTATGGCAAAATGAAAAGTAACAGCAAAACCCTCCATGATCCTCCTAAGCAGACAGCACATTTTAACCATCCTTTTTGCTTTTTGCAGCTATCTGCTCTACAAGCCAAAGTGCACTACCTGAAGTTCCTTAGTGACTTGCGCTTATATGGAGGACGTGTATTTAAAGCAAAATTGGTTGTAAGTGCTCTATTATGTAATACTTTATGCATAGTCTAGCATTTCAGACACATGGCTGTCCATAATTTATTTTTACTGCAATATGTGACTTTCTGTATCAATCAATGTGTAATTAATTTTGAAAGCTGGTAAAAAGGGTCATCAATATTTCCTGGGCAATTTCCCACATGTCTTCTAGATTGAGTATACATGGAAATTATTGAAATCATTTTCCCAGCTGTACAAATATACATGTTGCATCTTACTTTAAATTGTAATATCTTTCCCAATCCATATTCATTTAATCAGCAAATGCATTTATAATGTTTACTCCACTGCGCAATTTATTTTTAACCTTGCCTTGATAAATTGGCCAGCAGATAAGTAGAAAATGTAACCCTCTAATGTCCTTGTGCTTACAGCAGGGAGAAAAGCATTCAGATGTGACCTTGCTAGTTGGTCCCCGATATGGTATCAGCCATGTAATCAACACAAAAACAAACTTGGTAGCCCTACTTGCTGACTTCAGTCACGTGAATCGGATTGAAATGTTTACAGAAGATGAAATAACAGTTAGAGTAGAGCTTCATGTTCTTGATGTAAAAGTAAGTACAGTTGCATTTTTTTTTTTTTAAAGTAGAACTATAGGCAAAACTTTTTTTTTTTTGTTATTTTGTATAGATTAAGGGAGGGTTATAACCCCTGGCAGATTTTTCTTGCCATCTGTGTCCAATTGCCCCATAGCCAAACAGGAAGTGAGAGGAAATCCCTGCAAATGAAGGGGATTCCTTGGGGACGTCCAGGTCACCAGAACTAGTGTTCCCATTGGAAGATTTCCACTCTAATACTTTTCTGGGGACGATCCAAAATTTGGGATTTTTCTTTTACTTTCACTTTCAATGATAATGGTAAACAGGAAAAATAAAAAGGGTGGATCTCCCTAATGGGGACACAGACAGCAATAAAAACTGTCAGATGTTCTAATCCCTCGCCACTCTATCCACAAAAAAAAAAAAAAAAGTTTTGCCTTTAGTTATACTTGAAGACCGAATCTGTGTATTTGTACTGCCCTAGACACTTCCAACAGCTGCTCTGCCTGCCCCCCCCTCTGCTTCCCATTCACAGAAGGATTTGTATTTTGTGAATGGGTTTACTTAATACAAAGCACTCTGTGATTGGGCAGGAGGAAGGGAGGGATGGGCACAGGAGCTGAGTCCAGAAGGTCCAGCACTGGAAGTACAGCAATACCTACATGAAAGAAAAATATATTTGAAATATATTTTTAAAATATTCTTTCCAAATATATTGACATATATTTGAAATGCTACAATTTTGACCATATTCAAAATATTTCACTAAAGATAGATAGATAGATAGATAGATAGATAGATAGATAGATAGATATACACTGCATGTTGAAATGTGTTTTTATATATTACAAAATATGTGAAAAATATGTTTTCAATATATTCTTCTGATTATTTTTAACATATAAAAAAGTAATTTTAACATATATTTTTACATATATTTGTAAGTGCATTCCAAAAATGTAGTATTGTATTTTTAAAGACATACAGTATATTTGAAATGTACTTCTAAAAATATTTTTCATATATATATATATATATATATATATATATATATATACGCATTGAAATATATTTTGAAATATATTGAATATGGCCAAAATTGTAGCATTTCAAATATATGTCAATATATTTGGGAAGAATATTTTTAAAATATATTCTATATGGGTAGTTCTGCTCTCAGCACATAAAAAAATTGTAATTTAAATAGGGAAGTCCATGAGGCACCATGCATTCTGTTGGATTTAACACTAGTAATCCAGAACATTTCAGAACGTGGCTGAATTTCTGGAGTTCAGCTGTATCTGGCTCTTGCTGCATCTGCCCTTGGTTGCCCTAACAATGAAAATGTAGCACAAAAAACAAGTTGGGGTGTATTCCATCATAACCAGTTCAAAGACATCTCCCATGTTGTAGGATGCATAACAAAATGTAATAGGTCATATATCAGGTTTAAATTGAAGCAACATTTCCATCTAGCTTTGTATCAGTAAGCTGACCATAGCCAGGATGTTTTTTTTTTTCATTCAGCCATTGGACTGAATGAAAAAAGATGAACAGATTCCTCCATCCACGGAGGATGGAGGAATATCCCCTGCTGGGACATTGTGTTCTTAGAGCAGGCCTTTTAAAATACACTGATCAGCGGCAAAAGCTGATTGGATGCAGCCACTGAGTGAGAAAAGTTTTCAAATGTTCCCGTTCGACAGAAGTCAATCTACTTGATCAAATTTCGAAGTCCCAACCATTTGCTTTATCTAAGATTTTCAACAATATGCTGTCCATAAAATAATGCTGTAGAATTTAGATCAAACTGTAGTTGATCCAAACAGAAAAGTTGTCTAATAATGGCCTTTTTCAGTGTACATTGGAATAGCTTCCTTCCTACTGAACTGTTGCACAGGGATGTGTACTGTGCAGTTCAGTAGTATGAAGTTGTGCTTTGAAGTTGACAGCTCAATTTGCATAAGCTAATTTAATGATCTGTTGTTATGTTTTATGACCTCATTTTTTCTTACAGCCTATAACGTTGCTTATGGAATCATCGGATGCCATGAACCTTGCCTGCCTAACAGCAGGTTATTACCGACTTTTGGTTGATTCCAGACGTTCGATATTTAATGTGGCAAATAAAAACATGGCCAATCGTGACGCAGGTATATTGACTATAGTTTTTGCTACACATCTAAATTAACCCCTTAATGCCTGAAAGTGAAACAAATGCTACCAGCTGAACTCAGTTTTGCAACTTTGGCAAGTGTTAATAAACTGGATATATCATTGCAACTACTTTTTGTATCCAAGTGAAATATACAGTTGCAAGAAAAAGTATGTGTACCCCTTGGGATTACGTGGAATTTTGCATGAATTGGGCATAAAATGTGCTCTGAACGTCATCTAAGTCACAACAATAGAAGAACACAGTCTGCTGAACATAATACTACACAAACATTAGATGTTGCCATGGTTTAATTGCACATAACATGTAAACATTCACAGTGCAGGGAGGAAAAAGTATGTGAGGCCCTAGCTTAATGACTTCTCCCAGAGCTAATTGGAGCCAGGAGTGAGCCAACCTTGACTCCAATCAGTGTGATGATATTGGATGTGTTGCTGACAGCTGTCCTGCCCTTAAAAAACACACACCTGTTTTGGGTTTACTGATTTCAAGAAGCACTGTCTGATGTGAACCATGCCTCGCAAAAAAAGAACTCTCAGAAGACCTACGATCAAGAATTGTTGACTTGCATGAAGCTGGATATTTACAAAAGTATCTCCAAAAGCCTTGATGTTCATGTGTCCACGGTAAGACAGACTGTCTACAAATGGAGAAAGTTTAGCACTGTTGCTACTCTCCCTAGGCGTTGTCGTCCTGTAAAAATGACTGCAAGAGCACAGCGCAGAATGCTGCATGAGGTAAAGAAGAATCCCAGAGTGTCAGCTAAAGACCTACAGAAATCTCTGGCACATGCTAACATTTTTGTTGACACATCTACAATAAGGAAAACATTAAACAAGAATGGAGTACATGGGAGGAGACCACGAAGGAAGCCAATGCTGTCCAAAAAGAATATTGCAGCACGTTTGAAGTTTGCAAAAGAGCACCTGGATGTTCCACAGCACTACTGGCAAAATATACTGTGGACAGATGAAACCAAGATTGAGTTGTTTGGGAAGAACACACAACACTATGTGTGGAGAAAAAAAGGCACAGCACACCAACATCAAAACCTCATCCCCACTGTAAAACATGGAGGAGGGAGCATCATGGTTTGGGGCTGCTTTGCTGCCTCAGGGCCTGGACGGATTGTTGTCATTGATGGGAAAATGAATTCCAGAGTTTATCAAGACATTTTGCAGGAAAACGTACGACCATCTGTCCGCCAACTGAAGCTCCGCAGAGGATGGGTGATGCAACAGGACAATGACCCAAGCATTCAAGTAATTCAACAAAACAATGGCTGCAACAGCACAGAATACACCTTCTGGAGTGGCCCAGTCAGAGTCCTGACCTCAACACCATTGAAATGCTGTGGCATGACCTTAAGAGAGCGATTCACACCAGGCATCCCAAGAATATTGCTACACTGAAACAGTTTTGTGAAGAGGAGTGGTCCAAAATTACTCCAGATCGTTGTGCAGGTCTGATCTGCAACTACAGGAAACGTTTGGTTGAGGTTATTGCTGCCAAAGGAGGGTCAACCAGTTATTAAGTCCAAAGGTTCACATACTTTTTCCTCCCTGCACTGTGAATGTTTACATGTTATGTGCAATTAAACCATGGCAACATCTAATGTTTGTGTAGTATTATGTTCAGCAGACAGTGTTCTTCTATTGTTGTGACTTAGATGACGTTCAAAGCACATTTTATGCCCAATTCATGCAAAACTCCACGTAATCCCAAGGGGTTCACATACTTTTTCTTGCAACTGTACCTTGTTTTTTTCTGGATAAATGGGCATTTATTTGGTTGTAAATGTTAATGGATATCTCCTGATTTCTTTTTAATTATCAAAGGAACACTGGACAAAATAGTAAAATAAAAATCATTTTTAAACTTAGCTGTTTATTTCTCGTCATTACTGCCACCAAAAAATAAATCCCAAAATAAATTTTCCTACTCCTGATGATTGCAATATAAGTGTATATTATTTGTTGTTTGTACCCTTAGTGGGGCCAAGAGACATTAGTGTGCATTTTTTTTATGTTATCTGAGGTGATTGGAGCCGTATTAGTGCATTTGCGACAGAAACAAATGAGTACTGTCCGTGATACTTTTTTATTTGCACTAACATATAATTTTGAGGACAAGCTTTCAGGGAGTGTCCCCTTCTTCAAGGTCCAAGCAGTACTAATATTTATCTTATCTAAAATACACTGATCCTGACACTAAATTAACCAGCTGCTGACCGCAGATAGCCGAATGACGGCTTCACTGCGGCCGGCCAGTTCTGGGTGGACGTCATATGACGTCCTCCCAGAACGCGCTCTCCTGCGCGCCCCAGGGGGCGCGCACCCGGCGATCTCTGTGTCCTGCGGACACAGCTGATCACGTGATGTGGTAAAAGGCAAATCACAGCGGCCTTTTACCACGTGATCAGCGGTGTCCAATGACACGCTGATCAGAGGGAAATGCAAGTGCCGGTTCTCGGCTGCACTTTCCTCACGCTGTCAGATCGTGAGGAAAGTACTGCCGAGAACCGGCAGTTGTCAGAGCGGGGATCGGCACCGATCATCAGGGCACTGATGATCAGTGCCCTGATGATCGGTGTCCAGCAGTGCCACCCGCAAGTTCCGCCCAGCAGTGCGCCCACTAGCTCCGCCCACCCGTGCCCAGCAGTGCACCCACCTGTGCCCAGCAGTGCACCCACCTATGCCCAGCAGTGCACCCACCTGTGCCACTCTGCAGTGCCACCTACCTGTGCCCAGAAGTGCCACCTACATGTGCCCAGTAGTGCCACCCACCTGTGCCCATCCACCTGTGCCCACCAGTGCCACCCACCTGTGCCCACCCACCAGTGCTGCCCACCAGTGCCACCCACCAATGCAGCCCAGCAGTGCTGCCAGTCAGTGCCACCAGTCAGTGCCCAGAGGTTGTGCCAGTCAGTGCCCAGCAGTGATGCCAGTCAGTGCCGTCTATCAGTACCCATAATCAGTGTCACCTATCAGTGCTGCATATTAGTGCCGCCTATCCGTGACCCCTAATTAGTGCTGTCTATCAGTGCCGCCTATCCGTGCCACCTCATTAGTACTGCCTATCAGTGCCCTTTAGTGCTGCCTATCAGTGCCGCCTATCAGTGCACATCAGTGCTGCCTCATCAACGCACATCAGTGAAGGAGAAAAAATACCTGTTTGAAAGATTTTATAAAAGAAACAAACTTTTTTTTTTTTCAAATTTTTTGCACTTTTTTTATTTATAGCGCAAAAAGTAAAGTGCCCAGTGGCGATTAAATACCACCAAAAGAAAGCTCTATTTGTGAGAAAAAAATGATCAAAATTTCATATGGGTACAATGTTGCATGACCGCGCAATTGTCAATCAAAGTGCGGCAGCGCTGAAAGCTGAAAATTGGCCTGGTAAAGAAGGGGGTATAAGTGCCTGGTAGGCAAGTGGTTAAAAAGGGGTTTTTTTTTAAATCCAGTCTAAAACATACTGACCCTGAGCTTTGACCCAACCTCAACCCTGACACTAATCTAGATCAAGCCCTGATCTAGCTATTTTATCATTATTTATTATTATTATTTGTTTACCTTCTTTTCCTCTGACAATGTACCTCACTCTCTATTCAGAAAGAGATTACGGGGAGGGTTTACCCGATGATCACAGGCTATCATAGCTATCGTGATCAGCATTGGTCCTCCTGCTTCCCTATCATTAGTATAAGACCCCAAGCTATCAGTGACAGCTCAGTCTCCATGCTGGGAGTGCCTATATGTGGCCCTTCATAAGGCCCACTTCTGTGATACTGCATATATGTATGAGGCCAGCATAAACAAATTGACTACTTTTGACATCAATATACGGATTTACAGTCTCTCTTACTGCACAACACATTGTACCTGCACATTCTGCATTTAAGTTGGAAAATTAAAGCAATGCACAGTGTTTTTATTATTTCTGTATTCTAGTAAAAAAAAAAAAGTTTATTTCTTTTACATTTCTTTTTAGTCAATTAAGTATGAAATATTGAATAAAAAGTTTCATATTTGCCTTTTTGCAAGTGGCAAATGCAAATCTGTTCCTGAGACGTTTTACTACTTTGCTGAGAGTAAAGGCCTGAACTGCCAGACCTCAAGTTACATGTAGATGAATGAGTCAGCAAAATGTCTCAGGGGGGCAGGAGGGCCAAACACTACTGTTTCTCCCTAAGCAGATTTGGTGCCATCTAAATCTTCAGTCAGAAAGAGCAATTAAAATGTGCAGAGCCGTTGTTGAAAGCTCTTATTACACAGCCTCAGCTGTCTCTCTGCTAGGTGCAGTGAGATAGACAGGCTGGCCCTCGGGAGGCTGGAAACACTATCCAGCCAGGTTGGAAGTCATATAGAGGCCTTTAGGTCAAAGCAAAGTTATTCTTTAAATACTGTATTTGGCTGTGCTTGCCTCTGTGCTTGTTCACAATTTGTCTCCACATTTGATGATATGCTTGTGTTAGGTTTCATAGGTATCAACATGTGTAGTTGATATACTGTATATACTGGTATATACTGGTAATTAGACATGTGCATTTCATTTCATAACAAATTGATTTTCGGACAAAAATGTGATTTTCAGAGATTCTGCTGTATACGAATCTCTGAAGGGACAAGGGACATAGTAAAAATAAATGAATCCGAAAAAAAGTTATAACGTCACATGATGTGATAGTAGTTTGGTCCATGGGGAACTTAATTCAATTTTCAAATTAGTTTGATAATTCAGATTCGAGTAAAGTTGTGATTTAAATTGTATTTGTAATTGTCAGAGTCAGTCAATTCAGTTCCACAGTCTAATGCAATTCTTAGGTTTGAAAAATTCGGGACTGCTGAATTGTGCATTATTTATTCCATTGCATCCCAAAATATCAAATAGTTTTGATATGTGTATAAAGAATACACTCAAAATATCAAAACCAAAAACTAATATATAGCAATCTTTGGGAAAAAAATGGCAACATTTTTCAAATCCAACTGGGCGAACAAATATACGAAATGAATGCCGAAGATACAAGTGGTTCAACATAATGAATATGAAAAAATAAAATTCTTCAATGAAGGAATGCATTTAACTAAACTAAACAACAATTTCTGAAGTGCGCATGTCTAGTGGTAATATAACAAACTGAAAAGACATTGTTTAAAAAATTCCTGTTTGTCATGAAACTCTTGCTTGTTCCAGTGAAAAAGCAGAGATCCAGATGTTACATTTTTCTAGAGCTCTTTTTCCCAATTTTGTTAATCTAGAATTTTTCTTATGTTGCCTTAAAATATTCTTTATCAGTCAAAATATATTTGTATAATAATATTTCCCTGTTTATAACATAGCTATATTTTTTCTTTAGGAAATGAAATTCGAGCTAAACCCAATTATCATGATTGTGATTGGAATTACTTACCAAAATCATCAATATTTGCTTATGAAGAAAATCAGGAACCACAACAAATATTCGTAGACTTAAAACAAAGAAATATTGATGTTTCTGAAAGTCCTTTACATCACAAAGATCACCGGAACTTGTACATAGAAACTACTTTTAATTCAGGAGAACTTGATCAGCAGCTAACCAAACAATGTGATCACATTGACTTAGAGAATAGCCTTGGTATTAACCAGTCATCATTACTGTCTCTCTCAGGGCTGGAACACTCTAGCACAGCACAAGATTCTCCTAGGAGTGCAAAAGTGTCTTTTATATTTGGTGACCATAACCTGGACACCATAAACCCTCAGACACTTGGCTATGAGAGATTGCTGGATGAAAGCCCTGAAATGTTAGATAAACAAAGTGTAATTTACTTAAACAATGCCAATGACATCAAAGACTTAGACTTAACGTCAGATGCCCTGAAAGCATTCATTTTGCTGCTAATGCTGTTTATGCAAATATATCTGAAAGTAAAATATTTGGGAACACAGAAGGAATTGAAGAACCCCTGTTACATGACATATGTTATTCTGAAACCACAGATGATGTTGAGGACGAAGATGAGGCAAGTTGTGAGGAAGATATTATAGTGCCAGAGGATAATAGAACAGATATACTTAGCATGTCAGGATCCAGTGATGATATCATTGATCTGACCTCACTTCCACCACCTGAAGGAGATGACAATGAAGATGATTTTTTGTTGCATTCCTTGAACATGGCTATTGCCGCCCCTCCTCCTGGTTTCAGAGACAGCTCGGATGAAGAAGACTGCCAGAATCAGTCTGCTTCAGCTGTCAGTGTGTCTGTCGATGACATCCCTGTGTCTCTAATAGATGCTGTTCCAACAAACACAGATGAAAAATGTGAGACAACCCTAGAAGAAGCAGTAGTAGTTTCAAATCTACAAGCAATGCAAGACTTGGCTGTGTCAGAGGAAATCCAAGCAGATGACACCTCAGGTTCTTTCACCATTGTGACATTTATTCATTAATGTACAGATCCATTATTCCATCCCTTTGAGCCATCTTTTTTGTTTTATTTTTTATAAACCTTCAAGCCATCCCTCATTTTATCCACCAGACCTTCTATTTTTTTTATGATTTCCATTTTTTTTTTTATATCAAATACCTATGATTTGTAGAAAGGTATGCTTACAGTTGGTTTAATCATGTTATCACAAAAAAATATTACTGTGGTGGTATAAAACATTAACATGGACATTTCTTTCACAGGTGTTACAATATTAAGAGCTTATAGTCCTGAATCATCGTCGGATTCTGGTAATGAAACAAACTCCTCCGAAATGACAGAGAGTTCGGAACTGGCTTCTGCTCAGAAACAAATAGACAATCCATCTCGAGTAATCTTTCCAACTGGTGAAGGTTACCAGCCACTGATAGCAGAGCAGACTGAATTTTCTCTAGCCAAGAACCAAGCAGGATGTATGTCTCTTAAATGTTCCACTTCCTTAGTGAATCGGCAAGCGGTGGATCTCCAATCAAAAGCTGTGCCTTCAAAACAAATGCTTCATTCTGATAACATAGAAATGGAACCAGAAACCATGGAGACAAAATCTGTCACCGACTATTTTAATAAGATGCAAATGGGATCCTTGGTGTATGCCTGCAAAAGGAAAAATAAACCAGATGCAGAAATGAAGACACATTTTGACGTGAATGTTACTGTCAAAAAACAAGCAGGTAAACGAACAGAAAATGAAGGAGAAATGAAAGCAAAACTAGAAATGCATCCCTCTAAAGACTGTCAACAGTTAAGTAATTTTAACTTGGAAAGAACTGCTTTTCGTAAAGACAATCAGCGATGGTACAACACCACAGATAAGGGAACTAGTGACAGGTTACCATCAGGAACAACATATGCTAAGACATTGCCAAGGCTTTCTGGTGTAGCAAACAGCAAAATTGAAAATAATAGCAAAGATGACATAAACATTGAAACTGTGCTTTCTGAACAAGAGGATATATTTATCTCCAATGCAAACTTCATTTCTTCTTCCAAAGAACTTGGTGAGTCTGAAGCTGATGACACCTCTACAGAGAATATTTCTAAGCTTGCAGATACAGATCAGAGCATAAACAGGATTTGTGAGTATCACATCGCCAAGAATATGTCATCACTTCAGAGTGAAGGACACTTTTCTCTGCAGAGCTCCCAATGTTCATCTGTGGATGCTGGCTGCAGTACAGGTAGCAGCTCATGTGCAACTCCAGTTGAGTCCCCACTGTGTTCATCAGATGTTAAGCATATTATGTCTGATACAGCGGTAAAGAGTGGAAATTATGTAAGCCCTGATGAGAGACAGTCGATCCTTCCAAACCATGGGGCATCATATCCAGAGCTGCATCAACAAGGTGACACTTGTCACAGGATCAGTGTTTCTGCACATACACCAGTGAATGCAGACCCATTGTTTGGAACCTTAAGAGATGGAAGTCATCGGATTTCTAAAATTAAAGAAACCACAGGTACATCAATAACTGATTTACACACTATGAATTTTGTTCAGCACGGGGAACCTGTACTGCATGCATAGTTCACAAAGTAAAAATGTTGTAGAGCAGGTTCATTAGGGTACCTACTTATGCCTCCACAGCGATGCTTGCCTTCCTACTGTAGAATTGGAACCCCTTGAAAAATGCATGCTTCCAGCTATGGGACGTATATGCAAACTCCTCCCCAACTGCTACAATGCAGCGCTTGTTCTGTAAGTAACTGATCACCAAGTCACACTTTATGGGTGGGAGGGTGTAAAATTAATTGTAGGGGTAGGCAGCACTCTGAAGCTAGTGCTCACTATACATAATCTCTCTTTCTCTGCTTCATTAAAATATAGTACTGACTAACTTTAATGGAAAATACATCTTATACCGTGTTTTTTAAACAACAAAGTAGAGAAACTGAAGGGTATGTATCAATATTGTAGCAGACAGAATCTGGGGGCAGCTGTTCACGACCACCAATCTGTTTCTATCTTTCATTTTCAAAGTATAACCAAAGTCGAAACTTGTATTTTTTAGTTCTGTACAGAGTGGAGAGATGTTAGAAAACCTGTGGGGTTTTTATTGCTGTCTGTGTCCCCAGGAGATTTGTCCTGTTTACTGTCATCACTGAAAGAGAAAAAAAATCCCATAGTTTTGATTTTCCCCAAAATAGTAATAGAGCAGAATTCTTTCCATAGGGACACTAGTTCTCTTGAGCCTGGTGACAACCAGGGATTCCCTACCTTTGAAGGGACTTCCTCTCACTTCCTGTTTTGGCTATGGGACAGGAAGTGAAGAGAAATCTCCCCAAAGGGACACAGATGATAATCCTTCTCTACTCTATCAGAAAGGAAAAAAAGTTTTACCTTTAGTTCTACTTTACCTGAACAAGCTGATGATAGAAGCTGATTGGTTACCAAACTCTGACTGCTCTAGTTTGATCAATTCCTCTCATTGTACACAAAAGACACTGTAAAGTCCAGTACCCACCAAGGCCCCATTTGTTATTCTTGCACAACCATCTTTCTTAGGACAGAATAAGAGGTTCACAAATCATAAAAGACAATACTGAGCATGTCATTACTGGTCTGTGATAGATAACAGACCTGTAAATGTCCAATAAAGAAAAAAATCCTTATTATCTAAAATGACAGCTTTCACTAAAGAGCCCAACAAGGGGAAATTATAGGCATGAATCATTCAGTGCCAAAACAAGTGCACACATATTTTACAATTGACTAACATATTGGGCCATACTGCTCCTTAAACCATGTCGGCCAGTACTACTGACTTCTTAGCAACAAAACAAACTCATCTCATGTTTATATATTTTGCAGTATGTAAGACAATAGGGAAAACATATCAAGCTTCTGTTTTAGTAAATGTAGCCAGGAGCATCTAAAGTATAACTAAAGGCAAAACTTTTATTTTTTAGCTTTGGATTGAGTAGAGAGGGATTAAAAAATCTATTACGTTTTTTATTACTGTCTGTGCCTGTTAGGGAGATTTACCCTCCCTGTTTGTCACATTTATTGTTATCACTGATAGTGAAAGTCAAAGAAAATATGGGGGAAGTCTTCCAATGGGGGCACAAGTTCTGGTGATCGTAGTGACAACCAGTTATTCCCTCATTTTAGAGGGATTCCCTGTTTTGGCTATGGGCAAAAAAAGAAAATTTCCCAATGCAACACAGATGGCAAAAAAATAAACAAAGAAAAACAAAAGAAAAAAAACTGAGTGGGGTTATAACTCTCTGTTACTCCATCCAAAGTGGAAAAAAACCTTTGCCTTTAGTTCTACTTTAATTCCTTACTCTTACCCCCTTCTTGCTCCCCAGGTTGAGATCTGGATAAGCACACATTATCAGCATATAATGTACAAGGTTATATTTCAGTTAGTTTCCACAGCTCCACACGGCTCTAATTTTTTTTTTTTAATTTATATTCACAGGATCAATCTGCCTTCCTATTATCTTGCCATCCTTTAAATGTTCTTTATTCTTTGGTAGGCAAAATTATCACTCGACAACATGACACTATCTTTGCACATACTTCAAATGTTTAGGTTCCATGTAGTGAGCTTCAGGCAAGGAAGTTGCTATCTAAAGCTGGCCATACATGGGTCAGTTTTTTTTTCATTCAGTCAGCAGCTGGGGATGGGAGAATCCTCCCCACTGTCAGAATAAATAAATCAGCGCTGCAGCCTATTGCTTGTGGCACTGATCGAATGGCTTTTATCTGACAAGGTGGTTGAACAAAAGTTAGTCAATAGTGGCCAATCACGTACTGAAAGTTGGCTGGTTTAGTGGGGACCAGCCGAATATCGATCCATGGGTGACCGATTCCAATTTCGATCCACATATGGCCAGCTGTAGCCCCTGTTTGATGTGCAGTTGTCATGGTGCTGCACATGTGATCAGTTATTACACTAGCCATTTGATGGCTTAATAGTTCAGTAGAAAGCACAAGCAACTATGACATATTCATGGCATGCCTTAAATGCAACTGTTATGGAGCAAGGCATGTTTGGAAGCCGAAAACAATGTACACAATGACCACAAATGTATAACACCCCTACAGTAATGCGTTGAAATCTATTGACCATGATAGCAACTGCCACATACTATAGCCATAACTTTACAAATGCTGTAATATCCAACTGTTAAAGACAGATAAGCATTAATTAAAATATGATGCAACCGTTCGGTATTAATGGGTAGGTGATTCCTTTTATAGATGCTGCATTTAGGTTCCTCCCAAAGGTGCTTTGGAAAAACTACCATTAGGCCTCATGAACATGAGAGTAAAAAATGCTGCTTTTACAGGTGTCCGGCATTTTTTTTTTGTATGCGTTTAAACTCAGTTCAGTGGCCATGCACATTGGGCATTTAGTCTTTGGTCTTTTTTAAAGAGCACCATATGGAGGCATAAAAATACTCCGAAGCTGTGTTTGAAGAGGAGCTTATCAGCATTATTATTTATGCGTGAACATGCATAAACATGCGTAAATACGTAAACATGCACATAAACACATGCCTTTGCACGTTAATTTATTCTAGTAGCTAGAATACATGAATATTCTAGCCAATAGAATGAGTTTATGCTCAAACGCTTCTAAACGCCATACACCTGCAAAATGCACATAAATGTGCATAAACATAAAAGAAAAAACTGGAGATTAGAGTCATTGCTAACATCTGGCAGCATAAATTCATATGCTTGTGTGCATGAGGCATTAAAGTGATTGTAAAGGGAAAAATATTTTTCTTTTGGAAATAAAAAACATGGTATACTTACCTGCTCTTTGCAATGGTTTTGCATAGAGCAGCCTTGATCCTACTCTTTTGGGGTTCCCCCATCAGCGCTCTTTGCTCACCACTCCACCCCCGCTGTGTGTACTCATGCAGACTCGCATTAAAGGGATACTAACATGTGGGATTAATATGTATTTTGCAATAATAATGCCTCCTTTCAGAATGCTAGTTTCCTGACTGCCATTCTGATGCCTTGCTTACCCAAAACAAGTATAGGAATAAATAGTTTTCACTCTTTTATGAAACGCATTTACAGTATACTTGTTCTCGAACTAAAACTTACTAAAGTCAGACTTAGCCTGGCATTGATTATTTTTAGAAGGGGGATAGCAATGGCAGTCCCCCAACTTCTATCATGACAGTAACTTTAAGCACATGCTCAGTAATATGTTCACAAAAATGGCAAGTTCAAAAATGGATTTGCTTTAACATGTCTCTGTTTTTGTAATTTAATCTATGCAAATGCAAATGGCAGGCAAGCTTATCATGCAAGCTCAGGTTTTCTTTTTTTGATCATTGAGTATATTTATGAATTTTTCAGTTTTCATGAACACTTCTGAAAGTCTCCTGCAGCCCTCTCTCTGCTGCAGTATGCTTTTAACCAGCAGCACTAGACCTGAATAGTAAATCTTGCTAGACACAGTTGCTTTCCTGCTAAGAGCTGCTCATGTAACACTATTGTGGAAACAAATACACCACTATAGGTTGTGGAAAAGAATCAAGGCGCAATAAGGATCCCGGTTCACTTTGTGAACCCCTAAGCACCACATGCCTGAAGCATACACAGAGAGAGAACATTTAATGTTCAATATAGATTTTTTTGCAATCATGCACAGTGAGCAGTACATAGTGGCAAGGTGGTCAGTGAGCAGTACGTAGTGACAGAGCGGTCAAGGGGCAGTATGTAGTGGCAGAGCAGTCAGTGACCAGTATGTAGTGGCAGGGCCATCACTGTGCACTATGTAGTGGGAGGGCTGTCAGTGAGCAGTATGTAGTGGCAGGGCAGTCAGCGAGCAGCATGTAGTGGCAGGGAAGTCAGGAGCGGTATGTAGTGGCAGTACAGTCAGTGAGCAGACACTTGCCACAGGGCTGGTAATGGAAGACTTGCAGGGCTGCTATTTCTACTCCCTGTTTTCAGTTGCTGAATCAGCCATTGCAGCCACCTGTGCATGGAGGAAAGGAGGTGGCCACACCCCTGGTCCCACCCACCACCTCTGACTGTACAAGCTGAGTTCCATGATTCAATGTGCCAAGCAAAGGAGAGTAAACCTGAACTTCAGGGAGAATGACACAAGCATACCCAACAGACCCCCCCCCCCCCCCACTGCCGCTGATACCTACCTTGGCAGCTGTAGACCAGACAGCAACCCAGGGTGTTGCAACACAAAAAAGTCTGTTCCAAAGGATGGGAGAGGCTCTGGAGGTGAGATATGGAGGAGTTGATGGGAGAGCTAGTCAACAGAAGGTCTTGAGAGAAGAGAAGAGGGAGGTTTGGGTGCTATTTTGAGACAAGCTTTAGGATGTACCTCAGAGCAGAGTTGCGTATGGCTTTGTATGTTGTTGTTAGAATTTTGAATTATATTTGCTGGGTGAGCAGAGGGATTGGCGCACACTAAATGGTTGCTAGGATGGTTGAGTCTGGCAGCAACATTTATGATAGGCTATAGAGGGGATA